TGGTTAATCCATAAATTATAGTCTCACCATTGTTTCTTATCTGAAACAGTATTACAGTTGATTAAATATAGTATGATATATATGACAGCAAAATGATTTCTGAATTTGTATCAAGTAATGTACTTAGACAACTTAACTTAGTCAAATAGTATTTTACAGAATTATTACAGAAATCTGTCTTATTTGATTACAACCAGTAGTATATTAAACCACTTTCTGATAAGTAGAGTTTTAGAATTTTAGTTGATGTCAGTCCATGATGAAAACCATAACGTTAATCATCAACTGTAAATCATAATTTTATTTTGTCAAACTGGTTTATAACCCTAATTGGATTAGGTGGACACTCTGAAGATCACTTTGTTGTCGCTGAAAAGTTGTCTATAAATTATAGTCTCGCCGATTTCATGATAAGTTAACACAGAATAGATAAAAAAAAACTACTCCATATAACAGAAGAGTGATTTGTGAAGATTTTACTAATTTTACTAGTTAAGATCATGAATCAATTGAATATAAAACACTATGGAAAACCTGCAAGAACTGGACGGCCGTTTTGTCCTCATTGTGGGACTCCTCAACAGTGCGCTTCCACAATCCCGCCTCTCGAGATTCCAACCCAGGACATATCGCTCTCGCAAGCGAGCGCTTAATCTCTAAACCACTGAGGTGGCATTCAACAGTCTAAATGTCTAATTTCAACCAATAAACGAAATTGAGCAACCGTCCAATATTGTTGAAATCATGAGTCAATTGAAGCTAGACCCTAATTCGATCCTAGTTAGTAGATAGACATTCCCAACGTCACTATACCGTCGCTCAAAGGTTCTCCATAATATATAGAATTACTATAAATACTAATTGAACTATTCACCGATTAGAGTATCTATGTGATGTATGTGATTATAACAGAAGTATTACAGAGTAAACTAAAGATATCCTTAACGATGAATAGTAACTGACTGACAGACTGAATTGAAATAATTGGTAACTTCCGGTATTTGTCTCATCTGTTTAAATGATCTAATAGATGAAATATATATTGTGAAATTTATGTTTATATTTCATTCTTGACTATAATAGTAGTATTTTTACATATTAGACAAGGTTTGAAACTGTACAGCTTTGCGTGGCAACTGGTGTTCTTTTTTAATTTTTATCGCATTTCTCATAAGATCCGAATATTCCAAGTTCAATTCCTGGAGAAATCATGGTATAATATGGCTGAGGAGTAATATAGCATGAAAAACAGTTTCCTTATGTTTCCATATTTCTAATAATTCTTGTTGTGAATTTAGGCCCGGTGTGGTGGTCGATATTCGATATTATCCTTAAACTTTGTAATTTGTTCGTCCTGATAACTGTGACTCGATAACGCCCTAAATCAGAAGGCGAATGCGAATTGTCGACTGAGTTAATTATTGAACCAAGTACAGATATCCAAAATTACAGGCACGTTAAACAAGCATGTAAGAGTAGTGCCGTAAAGCAAGCGAGTGATCGAGTCAATGAACGAGTGTGCGAGTCAATGAGTCAGTGAACATTATTGAAATGTACATAAATATAAATAGTGAAATCAATTAATCATCGCATCAGTTTGGCGACTAATATTAAGGCTAGCAGAATGAATTTATGCGTTGGCAGAAAACAATGCTCAGGCATACATATCCAAACAAGTACAACAATAGTAAATGTACAATAGTATAGATAGGTTGTTATTGTACGAAAGACTTCCGTTAAATAACTTGATAAAAGGGCTCAGCCAAATTAGATATAGATCAGAAGGGGTTTTTGTGGAGAATTTAGTATTTTCATAGTTGAAATCATAAGTCAATTGAAGCTACACCACCATGGAAAACATGGAAGCACTGGATGGCCATTTCGTCCTATTTTGGGACTCCTCAGCAGTGTGCATCCACAATCCCGCCTCACGAGATTCCAACCCAGGACCTACCAGTCTCGCTCCAGAGCACTTAACCGATAGACCATTAAGCCGTCCGGCATCCAATGGTGTTATCGTCTAACTTCAACTAATCCAGGAAGTTTGAGCATCTGTTTACACATTGTCTTCAGTGAGTTGATATCTCTACAACAGACTTGGTAGAACTCCACTGGTTACTGCTTCCCACTAGAACTCAAGGAAATATTTCTTGAAGTCAGTCACTAGTGAGCATATGATTATAGATCAGTACGTGAGCTTCCATACTGATAAATTATCAAATGATTTACTCGTCAATCGAAATATGACTTATACAACTAATGACGTTTGAACGGTATAAGCAACCTAACGTCCTTAGTCCATCAATAGTTCAGACAAGTTACTCGTAGTTTAATCTTCACTAGAAGATAACAGGTCCATAGTTAAAATTAGTCCATGATTTAAACAATATACTACGTATAGATGAAGCTTTGTTGTCAATTTTATATATAGATAAATAGAATGGTTGAAAAGAAATAATAACCATTTAAACTATAAAATTACTTCGGAAGTAGTGCATGAACTGATACATATTTTAATCACAGAATAACATCCACGATATTATTTCTAAAGTTAGAAGAAACCCCAACAGTTGTTAGTAAAGTTTCATCAGTTCCCTCAAGATTACAGGTACACCTTGCTGATGAGTGCCAAGTAGCATGAAACCTGGGTCCAGGGTTTCCAGTTGACCACCCCCAACCACCATCTCACCTCAATATAGTGCACGCAGTATCTAGCCACTTAGAATAGTGGCAACATTGCAATTTGATCGATAGCATTCGATCAGCACTAAGAAGGACTTGACAAGCATAACATTGATCACCATCAAGTGATCAATCAATTGCAAGAACAACTTTGTTGGGGCGATCCTGAAAATTTCTTGCAATAGACATGTGAAGCTCAGGAAACATTAGAAGCATTTTATGCAATCAGCGTTTCACTAGACGATTTTTTAGAAACATCACGAAAATGAAACGTCACAAGTAGAGTTTGTGATTGGCTGATTACTACACTGCTACTATGTTTAGTAGCATTCCAGAATTTTCAGGAAAACCCAAAAACTTTTAAAATACTATAAAAACTCTATATTTTCTGTACATAAATGAACCTTTGGAGTAAAATGCTTCTCGTATATTTTGAGCCTTTTCTTTTGTGTTCAAGTCGCTGTGTAGTTCTATTTTGGGGGGTTACGAGAATAGCTTAGGATCCGAGTATAGCGAAAATCATCAAGACTTATCAAATATACATAAGAAAAGCTATTTATCATTCCATACATTTATCATCCTATTTAACGAATATTCTAAGTATTTGTATAATATTTTCATCGACAAGACTATAAGTTATGGGTGAACAAATCAGGTATAAGATAACAGGTTTCGAACTTTGATACGAAATTCACTCATTTATTTGAATAAATAGAGTCTTGACATTTTAGCTGATGTCAATTCGTGATGAAAACCCCAAATATAACCCCTATACGTAACCATGAGCTTTAAATAACAATTGTTATCCTCTACGTTGGTTTGAAACCATCATCTAGACCTAGTCAGTAGATAGACATTCGCAAGGCCATTTCAGCATCACTCAAAGGTCGTTCATAAATTTCGTCACTCAGTGTAAGCCACTTCTTCAGAGAATAAATTCATATATTGGAGTAATACAGTTTTTTATTCAATGTCTAATATTTATCTTTTAATTAATAGTTTATCTTGATTATCACTAGTTTATGTGTCTCTTATACATAGCACTGGTTAGCAGTCCATAATGTATCACCCGTTGGTTGGGATCAAGTTAATGTAACATTTAAATAGCTCATTGATACATATTTATTACTATAAATAATGATCATTTGTTAGGGTTTCACTTGGTTACAAAACCCTATGAACTTATGAATTACTATAGGAAGACAGTTTTCACTCAGATTCATAACTCCACAGTAATATTTATTCACCTTCACAATAGAAATTGAACCTAGAATTTACAAAGTCAACTAATTACATTTTGTGAAAAATTTAACGAGGCGGGATCGTGAATGCATACTGCTGAGAAGTCCCACAATAGGACGAAACGGCCTTCCAGTGCTTTCAGGTTTTCCATGGTGGTCTAACTTTAATTGATTCATGATTTGAACTATATAAAATTACTAAAATCTCCACAAAACCCCTTTTTAATAAGGATCATATGCTCACTAGTGACTAGCTTCATCAGGTATTTCCTGGAATTCTAATAAGAAGCAGTGACCAGTAGAGTTCAACCAGGTCTGTTGTGAGATATCAATTCACTGAAGACATTGGTGAATTGTTGCTCAATTACTTGGATTGGTTGAAGTTAGACATTAACACCATTCGATGCCGCCTAAATGGTCTAGTGTTTTAGCGCTCGCGCGCGAGACTGAGATGTCTTGGGTTCGAATCTCTTGAGGCGGGATCGTGGGTGCGCACTGTTGAAGAGTCCTACAATACTATGAAATGGCCGTCTAGTGCTTCTAGGTTTTCTATGTTGGTCCAGCTTCAAGTGACTTATGATTTTAATCAAACAATTTTTGTATATTAATTAATTAGAAAACGAATAGAATAAATATTTTTCAATAAAAATTATTGGCTACATAACTTTTGACCAATCCCAAAAAGAGATTTCCTAGGATAAAGAAATTTCATCCAATCAAATTAAAGTTTAGATTTCTTTTTTTTTTTTTTTGTATATAGAATTGCTTAACGAACATGACAATAATATAATAAATAGTCTGTTGTTATGTAATAATCTTTTCAATATTCCTTATCTAATTATTTATTTAGTCATTATCTTATTGGAACAGCCATTGAAGCGCTCATCACTAACCCTACAGCCCAACTTGCTACATGTAGACAACTGTAATCATTATTTGATTACATAATATTCAAACATTTAAACCAACCAATTATGATGAAACATCAATGTGATACGTATGATTATATGATGATAGAATGTTGAGCATTTCTTATTAACATAGTAACAATGATTTAATATTTAATTAACTATAACAATGTTACCATGTATTTTGTATGTTTCCATCAATCAGATCATAATACATTAGCGCCTGGAAACTATTTTTTAAAACCATAGTAAGTTGATTTATTTTTTCAAAAAGAAAAAAAAGAAAAGAAAGTTTGTCTCTTTATTCTCTTCATATTTCTTCCTTCCTTCTTTTATTTACAATGTTATTTCATTCAAATGGATTAATAAGAATGAGTCAATTGAAGCTAGACCACCATCGAAAACCTGGAAGCACTGGACGGCCGTTTCGTCCTATTATGGGACTCCTCAGCAGTGCGCATCCACGAACCCACTCTCGCGAGCGACATTCGAACCCAGGACCTACCAGTCTCGAGCCGAAGCCCTTAACCGATAGACCACTGAGCTGGCATCCAACGGTGTTAATGTCTAACTTCAACCAATCCACGATATTGAGCGACCGTTCACCGTTCAATTGACCGTTCAATTGACCGTTCAATTGACTCATGATTTCAACTGTGAAAATACTAAATTCTCCACAAAACACCCTCTGATCTATAATCATATGCTCACTAGTGACTGACTTCAAGAGATATTTCCTTGAGTTCTAGTGGGAAGCAGTGGCCAGTGGAGTTCTACCAGGTCTGTTGTAGAGATATCATCTCACTGAGGACAATTGGTGAACGGTCGCTCAATATCGTGGATTGGTTGAAGTTAGACATTAACACCGTTGGATGCCAGCTCAGTGGTCTATCGGTTAAGGGCTTCGGCTCGAGACTGGTAGGTCCTGGGTTCTAATGTCGCTCGCGAGAGTGGGTTCGTGGATGCGCACTGCTGAGGAGTCCCATAATAGGACGAAACGGCCGTCCAGTGCTTCCAGGTTTTCGATGGTGGTCTAGCTTCAATTGACTCATGATTTCAACTGTGAAAATACTAAATTCTCCACAAAACACCCTCTGATCTATAATAAGAATGAGGCATTTTTGTTATAATCATTATTTCTTGTTGGAAATCATTAAGAATAGTTAAGACTGTTGTTTTTTGTGTGTGTTGAATTACTATCTCTCAACAGATTCCGTTGAACTCCACTGGTCACTGCTTCTTATTTGAACTACAGTAAATACCTGTTGAAACCAGTCATTAGTAAGCATATGTTGAATAATATCCGAAGAGATTTATTGGGAATATTATAGTAATGTTAATAGTTGATATCATGAGTCAATTGAAGCTAGACCACCATGAAAATCCAGGAAGTACTGGACTACTGTTTGATCATAATATCGGACTCCTAAGCAGTGTTCAACCATGATCCTACAAGATAGGATAGAAATCAAGACATTCGGTCTCTTGTGCAAACATTTGACGTCTAGACCAATGAACCGGCATACAACGATGTTAGTGTTTAACTTCAATGAATCCATTATCTAAAATTTAAGGCTTCATTAGAATCATCAATTTTATTATTTCTTAATTCACTAAATTAACAACACAATTCTTTTTTATCACTCACTTGAATAGATACTACTGTAGTGAACAAGAACATGAGTGGGGACAACAGAATGTATTTAGACAAAAATTACAGACTATCTGACTAAATTCTGATAACCACACAGTAAACAGTTAGTTTGCAAAATAACAAGCAATTGTCTCAATCTTCACTGTTCCTTCTGTAAATATCAGTTCATCTTCTTTCATTCCATTGTTCATTAATTTCCCTACCAATCGCGCTTTATTTCAGTTTTGTCCTTATCGGTTTTCTGCTAAAATACATTCTATGAGTGACCCTCACCATATACTACTTATATGGATATAAGTAGAACACATCACACTACTGTTCTTGTTTTATATACAACTATTAAAATAATATGATTTACAAGCAAAGATGAATAATGGTTAGCAGTGGAATATAGGATGCGCGTTTCCTTCTATTAGGGACTTGTCGGCTGGATGTGCCTGCGTTTCAGAGTTGACATTCACTCCATAACGCGAACCCAGTACTGTTCACTTCAAACGCCATTACGTTGTCCCCTTAGCTACTCAGTCCTCATAGCCAACTCCTTCTGCAATGGGATGAAGTTGTATTCACTTGATGTTGTATACTTGTATCTTACGATTGTTATTTAGGACTGCAATTAACCAGTCATTTGTTGACATATATATTCATCCTATGTGGACCGTCTCAATATTGCCTGAAGTCACAAACTTTATGAGCAAAGATGGATAACGGCTAACAGTGGAATCCAGTACTAAGTCTATATATATATATATATATATATATATATATATATATATATATATATATATATATATATATATATATATATATATATATATGCCTGTTACCCCCAATAGAACATAGGCCGCCGACCAGCTTTCTCCAATCCACTCTGTCCTGAGCCTACCTTTCTAGTTCTATCCAATCACTGTTCATTCTTCTCATGTCTGTCTCTATTTCTCGGCGTAATGTGTTCTTTGGTCTCCCTCTTCTCCTTTGACCTTCAGGATTCCATGTGAGGGCTTGTCTTGTGACGCAATCAGGTGATTTCCTCAAGGTGTGCCCAATCCACTTCCAGCGCTTCTTCCTGATTTCTTCCTCCGCTGGAATCTGGTTTGTTGTCTCCCACAGTAACTTGTTGCTGATAGTGTCTAGCCATCGGATCCAAAGTATCTTCCGTAGACAACTGTTGATAAACACTTGTATCTTCTGGATAATGGCTTTCGTAGTTCTCCACGTCTCCGCCCCATACAGTAGAACTGTCTTAACATTTGTATATATATATATATATATATATATATATATATATATATATATATATATATAGGTAGATAGATAGATGGATAGATTGGATAGATAAAATAGTTAGATTAAAGAAATGAGGTAGATGAGATAGAATAGATAGATAGATAGATAGATAGATAGATAGATAGATAGATAGATAGATAGATAGATAGATAGATAGATAGATAGATAGATAGATAGATAGATAGATGAAATAGGCATAATAGATAGGTGAAATAGATTAGATACATGATGATAATGAATATTTCATTTATTATTATTTTTCTTTTTCATATTCTTCATCTTTTTTTTCATTTCTTTAGAATGCAATTAGAATATTTTATTACACAATGGGCTCTATTCAATGTCACTTGGTTCATTATACTTCCATATTATTACTATTCAGTTAATATACATATGGATACTATATTTGTTACTGCTCATACCTTATTACGTAATCAAGATAATAATAATATTAACCATAATAATAATAATAATCAATTATTAATCCCATATTATCAATTAAATTATACAATTACAGAAAATCAACCAATTCATTATAAAATTGGTCAGATTAATAAAGATTTATTATTAAAAATTAAAAATAATAATAACAATAAAACAATTAAATTATTAAATTATTTATTAAATCAATCCTCCCCCTCCTCATCCTCCTCCTTTTCATCCTCCCCCTCCTCATCATTATTATTATATAAATTAAAAACCCCTACAAATGATATTGATTTAAATGAAATAACAAGTGAGTTAGTAACAAAAAAAAGTTTTGATTTAGAAAAATTATGTCCATTTTATTGTCATAGCAACAATTTTTTTGCTGAATTATTATATCATATTTATATACAATTAAATAATAATAATCAATCAATCATTTCATTGATTACTATACAATTATTAATTATTGATTTAAATGATAATTTACCATTTTTTCCATTAACAATCAAAAGACCATATAAAATTCAATTAAAAGAAGTTATTTATCATAAAGATAAATTGATTGAATTACCTAATGCAATCGATTATGATATTGATCCAAAATATAATAAAATAAATTATCATCTTGATACTATGGTAACAAATGATAAATTATTGATTATGAATACATTTGATTTATTGATTACTCATGATAAACGTTTATTACTTTTATTAAAAATTGATTTAGATTATGAATTAATTAATCAATATCGATTTTATTTAATATGTAAATCAATAAATGATAATAATAATAATAATAATTCAATTATTGATAATGATCAATTAGAAATTATTATAGATATATTAAATATTAATGATAATGAACCAAAATTTTCACAAATGTTATATGAAATTAAAATTATGGAAAATATATTAGTGAATTCAGTGATATATCAAGTAAGTAATTACTTATTTTTTATAGATAGTTAGTTGAAGAGATGAATGATTAGGGTTCGAGTCCCTATTGGCGAAGGATTATAGGTGAAACATTCCTTCTCATACTAGTAATCTCCATAAATCCACATTTTCATATTATTAATTTTCTTTTAAATAATTTAATAAATGAGTTAGTTTATTGGTCTAATGATGAAGTGTTCATGCATGAGATTGAAGTTCTTGAATTCGAGTCCCCATTGGTGAGGGATTGTGGGTGGAACACTGCCGAGAAATTTCATATGAGGATGAAACAGTTATCCAGTGTTTTCAGATTTTCAATGGTGATCTAGCTTAGATTGACTTATGAATTGAACTATTCAAATTACTACTGCTTGGCAGTCCTATATTAGGATCAAACAATAGTCCTGTACTTCCAGGCTTTCCATGGTGGTCTAGCTTCAATTGACTCATGATTTCAACTACAAACATTACTATAATGTTCCCAAAAAATCTCTTCCGATACTAATCGACATATGCTCACTAGTGACAAGTTTCAACAAGTACTTCCTGGAGTACAAATAGGAAGCAGTGATCAATGGAGTTCAATCAGGTCTGTTGTGAGATAGTAACTCACTGAATACAATGGTGGATGTGTCACTCAGTTTTGTGGATTTATTGAATTTAGACATTCACATCGTTGGATTTCGGTCTAATGATCTAGAGGTTAGGCGTTCGTACGCGACACTGTTAGGCCTTGGGTTCGAATCCAGTGAGGAAGGTTCGTGGATGCGCACTGCTCATATTAAAACCAAACAGTTGCCCTGTACTTACAGGCTTTCAATCACGGTCTAGCTTCAATTGACTCATGATCTCAACCACTAAAATTACTATAATATCCACAAAAACTTCTGCTCATACTACAATCTCCACAAATTCATATTGTCATAATAATAATATGTATAATAAACTATGTAATATTGTGGAATCGCAATCTTGATTAATCGAATTCAATCACCGGTAGGATTTAGATGGACATATTTCTATTGGTATTTTCAATCTTAGAACTTATTTTCTGATGACTAAGTAAAACAATCTGATTTCTCTTCTTCTTTTTCTATGAAATAAACTAGTAAAGTTTGAAATAATGTCTAACATCAACTAATCCACAAAATTAAGTGACATATCCATCATTGTCTTCAGTGAGTTACTATCCCATAACAGACTCGGTTGAACTCCACTGATTACTGCTTCTAACTAGAAATCTTTAGAACTCTAGGAAATGCCTGTTGAATCCAGTCACTAGTGAGCATATGTTAATTATTATCAGAAAGGGTTTTTGTGAATATTATAATATTATAGTTAGATGCCGGTTCAGTGGTCTAGAGGTTAAGCGCTCGTGTGTGAGACTGATAGGTCCTGGGTTTGAATCTCACAAGGCGGGATCGTGGATGCGCTCTCATGAAAAGTTATTTATTCGTTTGAAAAGTTAGATAAAAATAATGGTTTTGTTATCTTCAATGTACAGTGTACTATATCTACTAAACTGTCTATAAGTATCAACCTAATTCAAATTTATTTAACTCCTAAATTTGGTAACAACGTGTGTATGGAGATGAAGAGATTTTAGTTAATAGCCTGAATTTACCAAAAAATATAAGTCTCATATTTTGTTATTTTATAGTTAACCTGACTACTTATTTACCATTACTTACTCATGTTCCATCTCGTGGACGATCATAGACCGCCCACCAGCATTTTCCATTCAATTCTATCCTGAACAACTCTTTTTAGTTTTTTTGAGTACAGTATGTCCTTCAGCCTTCGTCTTTTCCGTTTCTCTTAGGGATTCCAAGTTAACGATTTCTTCTTGATGAATTACACTGTATAATTTTTTATTTAGTCCTTCCCTTAAACTTACAATTAATGTATTTCAATATGACGCATCAACTTATGTTATCGAGTGAATTACTTATTCGAAATAATAAATCGATTAAGATCTTTCGGTGACCCTTGAAGTTTCAGCATTTGATCCTTGGTGAATTCATAATTATAATTTGTTGAATAATCATCTATTAGATAAAAACGAATGTTCATTACTTCATGATTTTAACATTTTTTTATTCAAAGTTAGTTTATGACTTCAAAATCTAGACAACGACAATCCCCGGTACTCTTTATGCTAATATAATAACTCGAAGAAGTCAACATTGAATTCAATCTCCTTTTCATAGGGTATCGAATAACTATTGACTGTTTACCAAAAAGAATACATTTTACAAAGAACAAAGTTTCAAAGGTAAGTGTTATATCGATTGCTTGTTCATATATAACGTGATAATCCCCGCCGATTACAGTGGAGTGAATTATCGATCAAAGCAATGATACACGAAAACCCGTATGAACAGTATTAAGTACTTATCAGTCCTGCTTACTGCCTAGCCCAGTCAATTAAGTCTAGAACACCAATAACAGCCTCTGCAATATGAATTATTATACTTCAAACATACTGAGTTTATATGCCAATCAAACAGACCACATCGTACCATAAAATAGAAAATAACATTTGTACAAGATTCAGCCAAATGTAGCTGTGAATGTGGGAGGCAGTAAATAATAGACTGGAAATAACTCAAGACCGGTAAATCGTATAGTAATAATTCATAGGTCAAAATAAAGCTTATAATAAGAGGGACACGAATATGAATGGTTTAGTTACTTAACAATTATACAATAGGAAATATAAGTATCATATTGGTCCATAAATAGTTCTCAAAAGTTCCCATTCATAATTCTCGTCGGGATATAACAACAAGTTGAAGAACAATTTTGACAAGACACATCATTGAACAATGTAATATTCAAATTCATTTAGTATTGTGTGTTTGAATCTTCTCATCGATGTGTTAGGACTGCAACTGGTCAGTCTCTAATTGGCATATGTGCATACTGTGCGTATTGCCTTGATATAACCAGGATGAGTGTTTCTTCCAAACTGAGGTACGTTAGATGGATGTACATACATTCCAGAGTTGATATTTACTCTAGGACTCGAACCTAGTACCTGGAATCGATTGTTAGCCACCATCCGTTTATATTTATAATACATGTGATTTAAGGCAATATCATGACAATTCGCATAGGATAGACATATGCTAATAAGAGACTGATTAGTTACAGTCCTAAACATTCATGAGGAGATCTAAACAAACGATGCAAAAATGAATCACTATTATTACTATGTAAACTACTTTGATTTGTTTCATATATGGTTTCGTATATGCATATGAATATTACTGTATACCAGAGTAAAACTTAATAAATTACTGTTCATATATGATTGCGCAAGATCATGGATGTATTGAAGTTAGACATTAGCACCGTTGGATAGCCAGTTCAATGGTCTATCTATCAATTGTTCACGCATAAGAGCAAAGGTCCTGGGTTCGATGCCCTTTTATGCGTGATTATGGATGCGCACTTCCGAAGAGTCTCATACCAGGACAACACGGTTTTCTAGCACTTCCAGGTTTTCAATGGTGACTTAGAACAGACTAACTCATGAGTTTAACTTTTAAAATCACTACTCAAACTCTCATTCTAATATATTCAAAACGTTCAAAGACAATCTACAGAAAATGGTGGTGAATACTGTCTTATTATGCTACTAATAATATATTATCTTTCTAGCGTGCTAATGATACCAGTGAACAAAGTGTTCAAAACTGTTAATTAAAAAAGATATAAGGACAGTTTTAAAGTGGAAAATAAGCCAAAAAGAACCTAATGACGATTTAAGCAATTATATCCAAATTACTCGTCTGAATTAAAACAAATATGATTGAGGCCAACTTAGCTGGGTGAAATATCATAGCCTTTTGATTTTTCGGTTATGTGCACTCTGGTTCCACACTTATATAGTTGAATGGCCTTAGATCTGTTCAAAAGAACCAAATTTTCATAAGTTAAAAAGTCTCAAGATTATCTCAGTTAGGTACTCATACCTTGTACTAACGTACATGATCGAAATTATCTCTGATCGTGAGTTCAATTGACTCCTGGGCTTCATATATGAGAGTGAAAATCATGGAGAAAACATATCTAGTAGGCGGTAGACTATATAACTCACATCGGAGAATGTAGTTTCTTAGGGGCCTTTGTGCATCTGCATGTAACTATTTAAGCTTCATGTGTCTTTATGCAAGTGTTATACTTGAGGTTTGTGCTACTGATGTTGACAGATATAAGTAGTATGTATTATCAATCGAAAAAGAAATGCATGAGGGCAGAAGATTAAGAAGATTGGAGAAAAGGGAGCTAGAACAGAGAATGATTGATGTGGAAACGAAAGAACAATGAATTCTGAGACGACTGATTGACACTCTGCAAATGAAGTATTTACTATATGGTTCTCAGATTTCACTAAGATATTCTGTAATTTTGTATTCAAATACATTCGATTGTATCCCACTTGTGTTCTCGTTCACTACATTACTTACATAAATGCATGCTTATACGTGTGCTAATGGTATATATATCAAATAAAATGTTTACATGGTAATTAATTCTAAGATCTACCCATGATAGTTCTGTTAGTAACAGGTGAGTGAGGTATATGTATTGAAATGTCCACTGATGTTCAATAGGAACATTAGATACTACTGAATAATGGTATATGCTACCTTGCCTCATGATGTAACAGTACAACCAGCTAATCATTGTCACAAAATTATAATTGGTCTATAAAGTACAAGTGAGTTTTCTTAAATAGTACAAATATTCAATATGAATTAGTGGTTTATTACTAAATGAATTAGAGATTTATACGTAAAATGCAAATGTAACGTTTTCAGAAAATGTGAATGAACAAATACACATAGCAAATGGACATTGTCTTTAACATTAACTTCTTGTCATACTACAATGAGAAATCATTGAGTTTGATAATGTTGTCAAATGAGTTACATGCTCAGTATAAGATGTATACGTTTTGATATCAGTTCATTTTGAATCAATACTGTAGA